CACGTTCTTGGCAGCTTTTACTTGTTCTCTTCTCAGTTCCTCACATCCACTGCTGTTGCTCTGATTAAGGGCTGATTTACTGTCTTTTCTTGAAAACACCGGGTCTAAAGAAGCGCTCTAGCATGAGGGTGGTTCATGAAAGAGGCCATGTGTTTTAGTTGTAGTTAGGGTTGCAAAGGGGTGGAACATTTCCGGAAACTTTCCAAAAATCCCTGAAATATTCCAAAAAATCCTGGAAAGTTTTCAAAATTTCTGGAATGTTTCTGAAATTTACTGGAAGTTTTCCACCTTTTTGCAACCCTAGTTGTAGTTGGTTCACCCAAAATCATAATTTTCCCACTTTCATGTCATTCCAAACCTGTAGGACTTTCCTTCTTCTATGGGCCACAACATGAGGTGTTTAGCAGAACGATGACAACTGCTTTCCCCAAAAAAAGAAGGTTAATGGAGACAGATGCTGTGAAAGTGTCAAAAATAGTCCGTAAGATTAAATGAATACAATGCACAGGAACCAAAAGTGAATGAGATTTGAAAGCTATGTGTACACAGTATTTCATGCAAATGAAAAAGTTTTGCACATAAAAAATGTATGTATGTATCTGTATCAAACGATTATTTTGATAATCGATTAATCTAATAATTATTGGAACGATTAATCGACTAAACGATTATTTCGTCGATTTAGTAGGCTTTGATCAGCTTTTTATTCAGCTTTTGCAATTTATTAAAATATTCTATACATCTACATAGTACATATTCATATACATGTAGAGCTGCTTTAAAGCAAAATCAAGTTGTAATTGTTGTAATTCTAACTAAAAGTAACACTGACCGTTTTTTTCTTCTTCTATGTTTAATACTGTAAAGCTGCTTGCTTTAAAGCAGTCTATTGCATGAAGTGTTATAGCAATAAACGTGATGTGACTTTACAGATTGCAGATCTGGTGCAAACATCCACATCGCGATGATCAGATGCTTTCTGAACGGCTGCTTTCTCACCGCTGTCATGTTTGTTGTGTGTTTATTTTGTTATTGAGAGGAAATCGCGCAGCATATGTTTCCACGCAGTCTCTCAGAAACAAAAACAACTTCAGCATCAGTATATCAGGGCCTTTACACATGGCAGCATTTTTTTTGTTCATAGTTTTGTAAAACATTCCAACATCACTACTGATTTGGCTTCGTTTGCACTTCATTTGAATTGACCCTGCACAAGGACCCGCCCCCCTTCGTTACTGTTGCTACATCATGTTTTCACGCAGTGAAAAATACATCGCGGAGCAAAGAGGACACTGACAATGCGTCGACAGACAAGACAGAGCAGGTTACTTATGATATGAAACAAAGTCTCAGCTTTCAAATGTTGTCATTTTTAAAGAAATTCAAACAATAAATAGCGTTTTGCGGCTCTTTAATGTGTCGTGACAGATCGCTGTAGCTCCTCAGTTCAAGCGGCACGTGAACCGATCATCTCTTCCGCTTTACTAGTTATAGCAGGAAAATAAACACGGATGAACATCAGAAGGAATCTTGTTTGAACCACGGAAAGACGTCAGTACACACCATTTCAAGTTCAAGTCCACCGACGTTAATCTACTCTCCTGTCTGGTTTGTTTGTCAGACAGTAATGGCAGATTCGGTGTTATGATTGGTCAGATCGCCTGTCAATCAAACTCAGTCTTGTGCTACAGCGCCACACTGGTCAAACCGTGTTATTGCAGACCCTTACATTAGGTCATATGAGATCAAACGACTATTCAACAACAAAAATAACTGTCAACAAGTTTTTATTGTCAACGTTGTTAAAAATGTTGACTTATCATTTCAGACCTATTTGAAAAATTTAATTAAAAAGGTGTACCTGAGATGAAGAATCCAGACAAATCGGACTTCTAGAAGAAGCTCTTTTATTCTCCATGAGGCAGGCCACCATGTAGATGCGATGCATGAACTAAGTTACTACTCACTTCTCAAACATAAACATTAATGTACATCTAAACACAAGCAAACACAACAGAGCCCAAATCAACCACAGAGTCCGGAGTGACAGTATTGCTCAGCATTGCTTATCTAGCAGTCCAAACTAAATGAGCATCAGTGAAAAATGCAATAATCATTCTCCATTTACTTTAATTGGAAAAGAGAAGCCAGGACATTCTGCTAAACGTCTCCTTTTGTGTTAGTAAGTTAAGTAAGTAAATGATGACAGAATTCTTGGGAAACGATTCATTTAAAAAATGAAAGTTGTGTCATCATTTACTCATTTACTCATCCTCATGTCATTCCAAACCTGTATTACATTAATTATTATGAGGAACATAAGATATTATGAGAAATGTCTAATTTTTTCCATACAATTGCAGTCAGCAGTAATCAAAACCGTTACCAGCATTGGGTGATTTTTGGGTGAATTATCGCTTTAAAGGCCTGCTCTGCGTTGTCTGGGCAGTTGAATTGATAAAAATCAATTATTCCTTCCTTTTCCAACCCAATACTATTTCACAGCAAATACAGACAAGAAAATCACACTGTCATGGCAAGCAATTTCAGGCAATCTCGAGGGAATCTTCACTTATTATCATAATCATTCAACAAGTAATCAGAAAACCTCTTACTAAAGTAGTTTATCAACAGTTAAGAGTAAGTGTTGGTTCTTCAATTTGAACCGTTTAAAAACTGATTCAACACTGTTACAAACAGCTGCTTCATTTAGAACTATTTGAGTTTAAATAGACAAAATAACTGGCAATATTCAACTTTGTCTTTTCAATCTTTGGACCATTACATAATTTCTGTACATCCAATTGTTTTGATGACCTTGCAATTATTCTAAAATGTGGGAAACCGTAATGAAGTATGAGTAGATGTGTCCAAATGTTGACTGGTAGTGTGCATACTGTTTGTAAAATTAAGTACCATTAAAATGATTAATAACCATTAAAAAAATAAATCTCAGAAAAGGCAGACACTGCTTTGTTGTGGACCCAAGCAGCTCATTTGTTTGTGCGGAAGAGGAAATGAAGAGTTTTATCTGTGTGCCGCCATTCTGATGGTGCTGAATCACAGTAGAATACATTGTTCATCAACTTAATAAATGAGCCAGCAACAGTAAAAGCTTTGTCTGGCAGAATGACGTATCCCTTTGCTTCCATTAAAATGATTAATAACCATTAAAAAAAGAAATCTCAGAAAAGGCAGACACTGCTTTGTTGTGGACCCAAGCAGCTCATTTGTTTGTGCGGAAGAGGAAATGAAGAGTTTTATCTGTGTGCCGCCATTCTGATGGTGCTGAATCACAGTAGAAGACATTGTTCATCAGCTTAATAAATGAGCCGACAACAGTAAAAGCTTTGTCTGGCAGAATGACGTATCCCTTTGCTTCATCGTTAGTCTCGAAACAGACACGAGCGAGAACTAAGGCACCATTAAGGTTTAACGTTTAAATGTGTGCATTCCTTTGGTGTTTACAGCAAACATGCATGTTAAAAACCAGTGAGTTTTTATCATTTTGTTTGTTTTGTTTTTTGTTCCATTAGATAAAACAGATATCATTTATTTAATTGCACATCCAAATCGGACACGTTAAATCATGCAGTTCCCCTCAGCCTTTTGCGACTCATTAAGTCAACATTACATTTATGAGCAAAATTAATTACACAGCATAATTATATTATCTAACATGACCAACCTAGACTCATTAGAAAAAGCTACATTTTTGCAAAACTCCAAAAACGTACGTATACATGCATCTCACTGCAGTTTCTGGCTGAAATGAATACTAATAAAATGCTAACAATTTTTGTTCATTTTAAGTGGAATTTAGATTACAGGGGGAGATTATCAATTAATAAACACTTATTTTTGTGTGATTCCTTTCACAATACTATGTTATGACCTCAAAACACTTTTACCATAGTGTAAGTTTGGTTAACTAATACAATTTGACATTTGCACCATATAACCAGCTCCATATGTATGGCTTTTCTGATATAGTAAACGTGCTCGGTAGCGCACCCGGTACAGCATTGCACTTGTATTGCAGAGCGATTAAAGACTTGTAGAAGCAAGCTGAAAAGGCATGGGTTTTATCTCACATTTGCTCTTGTTAACACTATAGGTCAGATTTAGGGTCAAGGTTAGTGTTGGTGGAACATTATTTTCAAATGCAGTAGAACATTAACCTTTTAGCGCCACTGACTGGATATTTCATAGTGTTAAGTATAAGAACCAATGAAATAAAACGTTGCCAGATTCACGCTCATCTGTTTGAATTACAGAATTACTGTTTGAAGGTGCTGTGAAATGTTTAGACAATTTTGCAGAAATGTCACCACAGTGAGCTTGGGTTGAAAACGACACCTATTCTTCCACTTGTTAGCTCTATGTTAGTATTGCATTATGGGTAAACTGTTGGGCCTATAGAACTGCTGTACTGGAAAACGTCGCTCAGCTGATGACTTCAAGCTCTGCTATAGTCATTAGTGAATGAATGTATAAAATGCACATATGATCTACTTAAACGCTACACTTTGGGAAGGCACAGGTGTGATTTCATTGGCCCACAGCTGCTTTTGGACTGGAATAAGGGCCTGTAACCAAAACTGTACAGATGGGAGGAAAATGTTAAGTGGTGCCAGCAAAGAAAAATAACGTATAGCTGCGAGTGAACGTTACGGGGCATCCAGGACCGGAGTATAAATGGAGGATAAATGTTCCACTATGTCAGTATGTCTATGTAGAGCAGGCCACGCATACAGATCAGGAAGGAGGGGGAGAGAGCATTTGTTGAATGGATTATAATCAGCAACCGCTGGTGCTTTACTGCGAAATCACATTTAGTTTTGCTTTTTCACAATCCAGTCAATTCCTGAATGATGAATTCAAGTCCTGCCCTACATTTGTTTTCTATCTAGTTTTTCCTCAGAAATGTTACACTGCAGAACTAAAGTGAGTTGTCGTTGCATGTTGATGTTAAACTTTTCTATATTATTGTTCTCCAGATGGAGCTTCTGGATAAATTCCCTGTGGAAGGTGGACAGAAGGATCCGAAACGCAGAATCATTCCCTTTTTACCAGGTAAACGTCATTCCAGAACGCCCCTTTCTATGCACGCATTAAAGTCAGTTCATAGTCTACAGAAATTCAGTTCAGTTCATTTGGCACAAAACAATCCAACAGCAGAACCGAGTTCTTGTGAACCACCATGAGCAAAGATTTCAAGTCAACTAGCATTTAGATGATTGGAAATATCAAACAGCTTTCTCCAGATATTGGTAGACCTCCAGCACAATGGCTTGACTTTATGACAAGTATATACAGAATCAGCTTGGCATCATTTACAGCAAGTGCAGAATGTTACCGTTGATTCGTTTAGAATGAACACCTGGCTGTAATTAAGCGGCCTGGAAGGTTTGTTTGCTTGTGGATCAGACAGTCTACAAGCACCCGAATGTTGTCTAGCATCCCAGCACTTTACAACCGTTTAACCAGAGTCTGGACTTACTGACACAGCACTTTGTCTAGAATCTACACAGAAACCCCTGTAATTAGCTGAGCATCATGTACACCTCTCAACATCCATCAGTGAGCTCTGTAAACACACTCGTCAAAGATGGGATTGCATTGTACCATTTGTCCATTAAAAACAGATACTGACAGCAGTCTGAACAAGATGCAGAAGAATGACTCTTCAGTTAGGATAACTTGTCTAGTCTATAAACATTTTATTTTTTCTCATAAGTAACCAAGTAAAAATGTGTTAAATAAGTGTTGAATTTGAAAAAAAAAATAGACTTATTTTTTTTTTTTTGACTTCCCATCTATAATAATGTAGGAAAAAGGAACTTTTTAACCATATGAAGTTTAGAAATGTAATTATTTTTTTGTATTTTTACATCATCCAAGTTATTTGGCTAACTGAAATGTCATTACCATCACACACAATTTTTGAGTTTTTAAGTTGGTGAAACAAAATTTGACACGTTTAATTTGTTTAAGTTTAAGATTTTAGATTTTAAAATCACCCTTATATTAATTTTAACTAAAAAAATATGTAATAATGATAAATATTTATCATATATAAAGTCTTTATATAAAACACATATACATGTATGTCTTTATATGTATAGAAGGAATCCAGAGGCAGGCAGAGACGAGGCCAGATTCATTCGCATGCAGTGGGAAAGAGATTAAAACTATTCAGACTAAAAATATTTCCATAAAAGAAATGCAAATGCATGTGTCTTTCTGAACAGATGCATCAACAGCAGTTCATTCAAATTCAAATGCCTATTGCATCAAATAATTTTCTTGGTGAGAACAGACCTTTAGTCATTTTAAATTCCAATTTAACAATAATTGCTTCAGTTGAGATAAAAAATAATGCGTGACACTTTTGCAGTTAATTGCATTTCTTAGCGGTGTCATAGGGTAACTATGACCCTGTTTACATGATTAAAAAGACCCTCACCTCAAAATCTGAGCACAGGAGCCACATGTAAATAAATACCAGATATAAAAACGGTTATCTGTCACTTGTCACTGGATCATTTGATGTGGCTGTTATTACAGTGTGAGCAGGGTTTGTTGTAAATACAGGGCAGTAACCCAACACATTACACAGACGCACCACATCACACACACCAAGGTGCTTTTCAGCCTCATTTTTCTGAATGTGCCGTTGCTAAAAGATCCATGACCCGGGGCCTTGGGTGAGATAGTCTAGTTATTTTCCCACGTTTCACTTTATTATTATTTTTTACTTCTTTCAGCTAAAATGGACCACAGTATATGGTTTTAGTTCAGCAGGATATGAGTCAGAAAACTTAAGAGGCTCGTTTGTGTTCATTTCTTGGTATTATTTTTTGGGCCACAATCTTTGTTTTGGCAAGTTTCATGCTTGAGGTCTTCCAGCATCTGATTAAATGGTTATAAAGCATGAAGGGACATTCCCAAGATTGCTTTTCAAACCCTGTAAAGAGTGCTGAATTTGAGAATGAAGACGCTGGCGAATGCAGGGTGTGTTTGTGATGATCGTCTTTATTTCCTAACAGGAAAGATTCTCTTCAGAAGAAGCCACATCAGAGACGTGGCCATGAAACGCCTGAAACCCATAAACGAGTACTGTAGGGTAAGTTAGAAAACAAACCATCTCACCTGTCGCTAGCATTACATTTACACAGTAAAATTAACACAACATCCAATATTTTTATTAACAATATTTCAATACACAGCACGGTCCGTGCTGCAGAAGTCACCCTAAAAAAAAAACATCCGGTCATCCTTTACTCATGTCATGACTGAAACACAAAAGGAGAAATTTAGCAGAATGTCCAAGCTGCTCTTTTCCAGTAGAAAATGAAGATGCGCGTTAAATATCGCATGCGATTTATCGTGCAGCCCTAACACAAAGCACCATAAATGTAGTTCAGTAGTCTGCTGTAGCTCGGAAATCTCATGCAAGAGCAATATATAGCTTATCAGATTTGACATCAGTGAAATGTTCACCTTTCGTAACTAAACTTTGCATGTGTGAAAGTGGAGAATATATTTGACAGCTAATCTACAGTGAATGGGGAGATTTTTAGTGAGTAATGAGAGAAAAGAGGAAAAACCTAAGAGTTCTTAGATAAATTGTCTTTGACGTTCATTGTATGTTGATCTACATCACAATTCAAAATTTTGGGGTCAGTAATTTAAAAAAAATTTTTTTTAGATAGGATGCTTATGTTCACCAATGCTGCCAGCAATATTATGAAATATTATTACAATTTAAAAATCATTTCTATTTTAATATATTTTAAAGGTGCAGTATGTATTTGGACAGCTAGTGGTTGAAATGCATACTGCAGTCCAAATTCAAATCATTAGAGAGGGTTGTTCTCCGCCTGCTCCTTCTCAGGCTCGACGTTCACACGGGTTGCCAGATTGAGGACACGCAACAGGAACGAGTGCAATTGACAATGTTAGGTGACGAGCCTTACACTGTAAGCAGATGAGTTGATTTATCCACGTCTTAATAAGCCTCTGGACATAAGGCTTTTTCGTTGGATGCCGAGGCTTTTTAGGATCGAGTGGAATCTGTGATGTCAGACTCCGTTTGTTTGCTGGCTTCAATGGCTGCAGTGCGCTGTGTTTTCCACCAACTGGCAACCCGAGCTGTCGAAATCCTATTGGGTAAACTGGCAGTGGGCGGAGTCACACAGACCAAAACAAAAACAGACATTCCGACACGGAACACACATTTCAAAGCAGAATAACCGGCTCTAGTGTTATTTTTCTAAGAAACAATTATGTGAACTTTGTTTGTTTCCTAAATATCTGCAAACATGTATTTTTATGCTTTAGTACAGTCACACAAAAAAAACCGTGATCAAAGCTGAATTTTCAGCATCATTACTCCATTCTTCAGTGTCACACGATCCTTCAGAAATCATTCTAATATTATGGTTTGCTGCTCAAGCAAGATGTATATTATTATTATCACAGTTAAAAAATGTTTGTGCTGCTAAAATGTGGAAGCCTCAATACAGTGTCAGTTATCAGGATACAATGATGAACAAAAAGTGAGCACGGTGGCCTCCATAATCCTTAAATGGAAGACGTTTGGGATGACCAGAACCCTTCCTAGAGCTGGCCGTCCGGCCAAACTGAGCTATCGGGGGAGAAGAGCCTTGGTGAGAGAGGTAAAGAAGAACCCAAAGATCACTGTGGCTGAGCTCCAGAGATGCAGTCGGGGGATGGGAGAAAGTTGTAGAAAGTCAACCATCACTGCAGCCCTCCACCAGTCGGGGCTTTATGGCAGAGTGGCCCGACGGAAGCCTCTCCTCAGTGCAAGACACATGAAAGCCGGCATGGAGTTTGCTAAAAAAACACCTGAAGGACTCCAAGATGGTGAGAAATAAGATTCTCTGGTCTGATGAGACCAAGATAGAACTTTTTGGCCTTAATTCTAAGCGGTATGTGTGGAGAAAACCAGGCACCTGTCCAATACAGTCCCAACAGTGAAGCATGGTGGTGGCAGCATCATGCTGTGGGGGTGTTTTTCAGCTGCAGGGACAGGACGACTGGTTGCAATCGAGGGAAAGATGAATGCGGCCAAGTACAGGGATATCCTGGACGAAAACCTTCTCCAGAGTGCTCAGGACCTCAGACTGGAACTAAGGTTTACCTTCCAACAAGACAATGACCCTAAGCACACAGCTAAAATAACGAAGGAGTGGCTTCACAACAACTCTGTGACTGTTCTTGAATGGGCCAGCCAGAGCCCTGACTTAAACCCAGTTGAGCATCTCTGGAGAGACCTAAAAATGGCTGTCCACCAACGTTTACCGTCCAACCTGACAGAACTGGAGAGGATTTGCAAGGAGGAATGGCAGAGGATCCCCAAATCCATGTGTGAAAAACTTGTTGCATCTTTCCCAAAAAGACTCATGGCTGTATTAGATCAAAAGGGTGCTTCTACTAAATACTGAGCATTTTTCAGTTTTTCTTTTTTAATAAATCTGCAAAGATGTCAACAATTCTGTGTTTTTCTGTCAATATGGGGTGCTGTGTGTACATTAATGAGGGAAAAAAATTAACTTAAATGATTTTAGCAAATGGCTGCAATATAACAAAGAGTGAAAAATTTAAGGGGGTCTGAATACTTTCCGTACCCACTGTATATTATTATTATCACAGTTAAAAAATGTTTGTGCTGCTAAAATGTGGAAGCCTCAATACAGTGTCAGTTATCAGGATACAATGATGAACAAAAAGTTAGCAAGAACAGCATTTTTTTATAGAAATATTTTGTAACATTTTAAAGGTCTTTACTGTCGTTTCTGATGTATTAAATGCATCCTTGCTGAATAAAATTATCAATATATAAAAAAAAACAAAAAACCTTAGTTATTCCAAACTTTGAAATGGTGATGTACGTCTTAGCATTCAGCAAACTTGCTTTATTTAAGAACATTTTCGTAGAAGTTTTTCAAAGTGTTAAGCAGAGCGATCACGTATAAATTCTACTGCTTCAAGCCAGTTTTCTGTGGTGGTCTGCGCTGTGAATTGAATTTGCTTAACATAAAAGACTGCTCCGTCTTAAGTAACTGTTGGGCTTTTGGTGTAAGGGTTAAAGAGGGGGAAAAAAGTCAGGAATCCACATTTGGCAGCGTAATGTCTGCTTTAGGGCTGGGGTTTGGAGCTGCGCTGAGTTAGCCTTCGTCAGCAGATCATGGCTTTTTGTTGATTTTTTAAAGGGCTGTTTCTAAAGGAAACCGCTTTTTAAAATGTTGCTTCAAGTGTTCTGTTTTTGAGGGTGCCTGTGTGAGCGGTCATGATCTGTGACTCGCCGAAGGAGGATTTCACCTCTAAAAACAACATTTAACAATCATAATTCAGTTCCAGTAATTCAAAGCAGCCCTCACTTCCCAGACACCCACTGTAAACAAGCAGTGTCATCATCAGCTGATGAATCAGTGCTGTCGCGTGTTAGCTAGAAGAAATGATGCCGGCGCTGGATGTGCAAACATCCTTAAAACGCCTGCTTTAAATAACATCATTATTGTTTCACAGTTTTTCCTGTTTGGTGCTACTAAAGCAAAAATGCAAAAACATAAATGTATATGTAAACTTATATAGGTTGACCACTGCAGTCTGATTTATCAATGACTCTTAATGAACCCGTTCTTTTAGACAGTCAGTTTTACTTGGACCCCAAATAACTGATTCCAGTGGCTTGTTTTGATCAGTTGCTTATAATATTGCTGTCATTTTTGTGCTCTTTCTAACCATAAAATAAAAGTCTATTAATGTCTTTTAAATTGAATTAAATGTTTAAATTTAAACTGACGCAACAAATGAGCACTCAGTCACATACTGAGTAGTAAGGAAACTTGTTTCTGCCATTGAATAAAAAAAAAAGGTAATTACGACTTTATCTCACAATTCTGACTTTTTTCTTGCAGTTGTGAGTTTACATCTTACAATTGACTTTTTTTCTCAGAATTGCATGATATAAACTCGCAATTGTGTTACATAGTCCGAATTGCAAGATATAAATTCAGTTTTGAGAAGTCAGAATTATGAGATATACTCACAATTGTAAGAAAATGTCAGAATTGCGAGCTGAATCAGACAGAATCTCACAATTCTGAGAGTAGAAATCAGTATCGCAGCATGTAAATTTGCAGCTGCGAGTTATAAAGTCAGAATTGCTGTAAAAATATAAATCGAGTTTATATTTTGCAATTCTGACTTTATTTCTCACAGTTGCAAGTTTATCTCATAATTGAGTTCTGGCAACCACAGCTGCCGGTATTTTACCGTAAATGTCACAGATTTTATTTTACAGTGTAGAAACTATATTTATAATTATAATAAGAACATGAATACTATGAATTCAGGACATACTAGTCTTTTTACACATTGCTTTTCGCCTACTATGTATTTAAAAAGTAGCCATATTCGGGGCATTATTATAAAAGTAGGCATTATTGATGCATTAGTAAAATGGATATTTTAGCTTTTCAAAATAAAAAAGCACTATAATACACTTGCATACAGCAGTCGAGAGGGAAGTGAGTTAATAAGCGTCAGTGTAAACGCCCCCTTCAGCTGACCTGCTCACTTTTAAGTGCTGGAGCAGGATCTATATTAATTGAGGTGAAAGGTCAGAAATGCTGTTAAGAAATAACCAGAGGTTCTTTTGACTTGAAAATCAGGCATATTGATGATTACTTTTTTTTTTTTATCGAAAAAAAATAATAAAATACGTTCATATCCCACAAATGAAATTTCCTGATCTTCACCTTCATGAAAATAGCCCTTTAAAGCCTGACATAAATTAAATAAGTCATAAAAATTTCATAAAATGAAACCGTTTATTGAAACTTTAAACAATAAATACATTTTGAATATATGATTTTGTTGTTTGGTATCATATTTGATAAATCAGGCTTTTAATGGTTCATATTGTACGATATAGGAGAATATTGCACTCAAATGTGAGAAAAAATAAACGGCACAATTTTATTCAGAAGCAATAATATGTTGATATTTATGTGGCTAAAATTAAAATGAAACTGATGCTTGTAAAGTAAATCGATGAGATCTTAATAACAATATAAGAGAGACTACTCACATAAAATGATCTCCAATAATATGTATACTAACAATAATATAGTAAGATGATATTTAAATTCTTAGTTTTATGATCAAAGCTCTAGTTTTTTTCATATAATGCAATACAATATAATGTACTGATAATTGAGAGATGAACAAATAAACATTCCTCAAAAGCCTGATATAAAGCCTCATATTTAATACTTGCAATGATTTACATTTACACATTATTTAAAATAAAATGATTTATGGATAATCAGGTAAATTGTATTTACTTGGTTCTAAGATATATTGAAATATTACTAACAATATAAAAGTTATTCTTAGCTTTACTGGTAACACATATTAACTGTTAGCTGGGAGTTTTTCCTCAATAAACTCCTAATTACTGCTTATTGATAGTAAGTAAAGTAGTTGTTGTAGTAGTTATCTTTAGGTATTGCATCGGGTTTAGGGATCTAGAATATAGTCATGCATTAATATGTGCTATAAGTACTAATAAATAGCTAATATGCTGAAAATATGCATGCTAATAAGCAACTAGTTACTAATGAATAGTGTTCCCTAATCTAAAATGTTACTTTCAGACGTGTACCACAACCTCAAGAATTAAACTAAAAATCGTTTTACTTGCTAAAAAGTATGAACTATCACTCAGACGGTGTACGTCTTTCATGACGATAATTTATAGACGTGTATCAAATATAATACAGTAGGCTTTATAAGGTTAAACTTCCAATATGCCACTCGCAGAATAAATAGTACGGTATATACTGCAGTGTTTAGTGAGCAATAACCTGTTCCTTTATGAACTTATCACGTGGCCTTCTGTGGTGATATAGATGAACATTCATCTCTTTCTCTCTGTCTCTCTCCCGCGTACACGCACATAAAACAATCAAGGTAATGCATCCACCCAATAAAGTGCATTTACTGTAATTGGCCTCCATATACCCAGTGTCTTCAGGGAATGGTAATGAGCGAGGAGGTCAGGTACTAAACCCTGGGGAGGCATCAGTCTGTGGACATCCGTGGAAAGCGACACGAATAAGATCCTTCATGCAAACCCAATGCCGAGAGGCAGACCCGTCTTCAGCCTCCCATCACCCCTCATCTCATTAAAAACAAGCTTGATTTTGCCATTCAAAACAGCCTTTTCATTAAGAAAACTGAGCATTGGGCAAACGTGCAATTGCAAGAGTAATTGGCGAGTCTAAAGCAATTGTGAACATTTGGCCCAGGCTCTGCGATTTTAAAAGCCGGGTTAGAAAAGGACACCTTGCGCAGATGCGTCCGAGTGTGAGAATTTAAAGATTCCAGGTCAAGCATCATAACTCATGACGTCTGTCTGAAGGACACTGAAGCAGCACTCCGCTTTATTACATTAAAGCTCCTCAGCCAAAATATACAACAGCAAAAAGCATCTTCTGTCAGCACATGGAGCTTTATTAGATGTGAGACTGGATCTGAAGCTGGATCACTGCGAGCCGAACACGCGGTTGATAAAGCAGAAACAGATTGCCATCAATGCCTAGTAAAACACAACCCATCTGCCCTCATGCATGCCTCTGATATGAAAGCATAACACTAAGATTCAGAGCGATTATGCATTTGAGGGCGTTCTGCGTTAAAATAAATGAGGATAGAAACAAAAGAAATGAATGTAGAGATGAAACAACTTATGGTTTGCTTCCTAAATGCTTCAGAATTTGAAAACGTAGTGTATGTGAATTGATGACTGACGCTTCTGAATGTGTCACAATAGCGAGTAATTGTGTATATTTTCCCCTCAGGCCCTGATCCAGCTGCCAGTGTATATTTCCCAATGCGAGGAGGTTCGTGTGTTCTTTGAGACGCGTCCTGAAGACCTGAACCCACCCACAGAGTACGTTTGCACTCCATGCAACACACACACACACATATTCAAAATCAGTCAAAATGACACAGATAACTTAATGAGCCTTAGTTTATATTGAGATTAATAAATCAATAAATCAATAGCCACTAGCTACTTTACAGCTCACCAAATCAACAATAAGGATTTTTTGAAAAAATAAAAAATATAATAATAATAAATAAATAAATAATCTTGTCATGTATAAACACCGATTTATAGTGTGATTAAAATAATAATAATAATAAAATTAGATATGATAACGTTTACCTGAAATAAAATAAACATTAACTAAAACAAAATATTTAAAAAAAAATTGAACTTATTTTGTTTCAGCTAGTTAACAACATTTCTAATTTTCATTTGATGATATTTCATTTTATTTTTTGAAGTACTAAAATTATATAAAAAAAATACAAACAAAAACAAATACAGACATATTTAAAGAAAATAAAAATAAAAATTACACTGAAACTAATTACTAAAACTTTAACTAAAATTAAAAATATATATCAAATTATTAACAAAAACTATAATAGTAATATCAATGATACTAACACATAATAGTTAGTAGTGTATCATGGTTCTAAAATTGTTTTTACATACTTACTAAGAACATGAATATCTAACCTGCATATCTTCGTTTACAGGGAACCCGGTGGAAAAAAGAAATCGGGTAAGAAAATGATTTTGTGAGAAAGTGCCATGCGTAAGTTGTTTGTAATTCACGTTGGCTGTAGTTAGTGTGCCCTCTGGTGCACACTATGCACTTCATAAATGTTTCATTTGAGGTACAGAATGTGCAGCTCGCACCCTTTACTCTGGATGCTTTCATTCCTTTGTTACCTGAACTTTTCCACCTTCGCCCTCACTCCTGCTCTCATTCATGTTTCCTCATCAGGCATTGTGGAGCGCGCGACTTCTTTCCTAAAGAGAGGTAGTAACAGACACTTGCTTAGCCATGCTCTGTGTGTGTGAGCCCTCGAAGTGCGGCGTTTCTTAGGTGGGCCAGGGCTAAGCTTTGTGCTCTGTTCCTGTGTGATGTGCATGGCGGTGGTTTACTGGAGGACCATTTAGCAGATAGTTTAGTAACTGGTAGGGATGTAGCGATGCACTCCGAGCCGATTGAAATTCAATAAAAATATGTGACGATTTAAAAAAAAAAATTTAAATTACCCCATGATTTGCTCACCCTTAGAGACTACTCACATAAAATGATCTCCAATAATATGTATACTAACAATAATATAGTAAGATGATATTTAAATTCTTAGTTTTATGATCAAAGCTCTAGTTTTTTTCATATAATGCAATACAATATAATGTACTGATAATTGAGAGATGAACAAATAAACATTCCTCAAAAGCCTGATATAAAGCCTCATATTTAATACTTGCAATGATTTACATTTACACATTATTTAAAATAAAATGATTTATGGATAATCAGGTAAATTGTATTTACTTGGTTCTAAGATATATTGAAATATTACTAACAATATAAAAGTTATTCTTAGCTTTACTGGTAACACATATTAACTGTTAGCTGGGAGTTTTTCCTCAATAAACTCCTAATTACTGCTTATTGATAGTAAGTAAAGTAGTTGTTGTAGTAGTTATCTTTAGGTATTGCATCGGGTTTAGGGATCTAGAATATAGTCATGCATTAATATGTGCTATAAGTACTAATAAATAGCTAATATGCTGAAAATATGCATGCTAATAAGCAACTAGTTACTAATGAATAGTGTTCCCTAATCTAAAATGTTACTTTCAGACGTGTACCACAACCTCAAGAATTAAACTAAAAATCGTTTTACTTGCTAAAAAGTATGAACTATCACTCAGACGGTGTACGTCTTTCATGACGATAATTTATAGACGTGTATCAAATATAATACAGTAGGCTTTATAAGGTTAAACTTCCAATATGCCACTCGCAGAATAAATAGTACGGTATATACTGCAGTGTTTAGTGAGCAATAACCTGTTCCTTTATGAACTTATCACGTGGCCTTCTGTGGTGATATAGATGAACATTCATCTCTTTCTCTCTGTCTCTCTCCCGCGTACACGCACATAAAACAATCAAGGTAATGCATCCACCCAATAAAGTGCATTTACTGTAATTGGCCTCCATATACCCAGTGTCTTCAGGGAATGGTAATGAGCGAGGAGGTCAGGTACTAAACCCTGGGGAGGCATCAGTCTGTGGACATCCGTGGAAAGCGACACGAATAAGATCCTTCATGCAAACCCAATGCCGAGAGGCAGACCCGTCTTCAGCCTCCCATCGCCCCTCATCTCATTAAAAACAAGCTTGATTTTGCCATTCAAAACAGCCTTTTCATTAAGAAAACTGAGCATTGGGCAAACGTGCAATTGCAAGAGTAATTGGCGAGTCTAAAGCAATTGTGAACATTTGGCCCAGGCTCTGCGATTTTAAAAGCCGGGTTAGAAAAGGACACCTTGCGCAGATGCGTCCGAGTGTGAGAATTTAAAGATTCCAGGTCAAGCATCATAACTCATGACGTCTGTCTGAAGGACACTGAAGCAGCACTCCGCTTTATTACATTAAAGCTCCTCAGCCAAAATATACAACAGCAAAAAGCATCTTCTGTCAGCACATGGAGCTTTATTAGATGTGGGACTGGATCTGAAGCTGGATCACTCCGAGCCGAACACGCGGTTGATAAAGCAGAAACAGATTGCCATCAATGCCTAGTAAAACACAACCCATCTGCCCTCATGCATGCCTCTGATATGAAAGCATAACACTGAGATTCAGAGCGATTATGCATTTGAGGGCGTTCTGCGTTAAAATAAATGAGGATAGAAACAAAAGAAATGAATGTAGAGATGAAACAACTTATGGTTTGCTTCCTAAATGCTTCAGAATTTGAAAACGTAGTGTATGTGAATTGATGACTGACGCTTCTGAATGTGTCACAATAGCGAGTAATTGTGTATATTTTCCCCTCAGGCCCTGATCCAGCTGCCAGTGTATATTTCCCAATGCGAGGAGGTTCGTGTGTTCTTTGAGACGCGTCCTGAAGACCTGAACCCACCCACAGAGTACGTTTGCACTCCATGCAACACACACACACACATATTCAAAATCAGTCAAAATGACACAGATAACTTAATGAGCCTTAGTTTATATTGAGATTAATAAATCAATAAATCAATAGCCACTAGCTACTTTACAGCTCACCAAATCAACAATAAGGATTTTTTGAAAAAATATAATAATAATAAATAAATAAATAATCTTGTCATGTATAAACACCGATTTATAGTGTGATTAAAATAATAATAATAATAAAATTAGATATGATAACGTTTACCTGAAATAAAAGAAACATTAACTAAAACAAAATATTTTTTAAAAACTTGAACTTATTTTGTTTCAGCTAGTTAACAACATTTCTAATTTTCATTTGATGATATTTCATTTTATTTTTTGAAGTACTAAAATTATATAAAAAAAATACAAACAAAAACAAATACAGACATATTTAAAGAAAATAAAAATAAAAATTACACTGAAACTAATTACTAAAACTTTAACTAAAATTAAAAATATATATCAAATTATTAACAAAAACTATAATAGTAATATCTATGATACTAACACATAATAGTTAGTAGTGTATCATGGTTCTAAAATTGTTTTTACATACTTACTAAGAACATGAATATCTAACCTGCATATCTTCGTTTACAGGGAACCCGGTGGAAAAAAGAAATCGGGTAAGAAAATGATTTTGTGAGAAAGTGCCATGCGTAAGTTGTAATTCACGTTGGCTGTGGTTAGTGTGCCCTCTGGTGCACACTATGCACTTCATAAATGTTTCATTTGAGGTACAGAATGTGCAGCTCGCACCCTTTACTCTGGATGCTTTCATTCCTTTGTTACCTGAACTTTTCCACCTTCGCCCTCACTCCTGCTCTCATTCATGTTTCCTCATCAGGCATTGTGGAGCGCGCGACTTCTTTCCTAAAGAGAGGTAGTAACAGACACTTGCTTAGCCATGCTCTGTGTGTGTGAGCCCTCGAAGTGCGGCGTTTCTTAGGTGGGCCAGGGCTAAGCTTTGTGCTCTGTTCCTGTGTTATGTGCATGGCGGTGGTTTACTGGAGGACCATTTAGCAGATAGTTTAGTAACTGGTAGGGATGTAGCGATGCACTCCGAGCCGATTGAAATTCAATAAAAATATGTGACGATTTAAAAAAAAAAATTTAAATTACCCCATGATTTGCTCACCCTTTTGAAGCACTTTTTTGGGCTTTAAAATCTCGACCCCATTCACTGCCATTATAAAGCTTGGAAGAGCCAGGACATTTTTTTATGTAACTCCGATTGCATTCGTCTGGAAGAAGAAAGTCATATACACCTAGGATGGCTTGAAGGTGAGTAAATCATGGGCTAATTTTCATTTTTGGGTGAACTATCCCTAACTAAGTCGCTTGAGATGTTAAACGAATCACGATACAGTTGTGGGGGTTTATATGAATGTATCTCTGACTAGGGCTGCACGATTATGACAAAAATCATAATTGTCGATTATTCCCTTGAAATTGTAATAATTGCGATTATCAAATATACATCGGATTGGTTTCTTCTTTAAATTATAAAAAATATGAATGGTATTATAATGTTATACTGAAACTAAAACAATGGAAAAACCCTTAAGATAACATGTAGAAAGAAAAAAACATATCTTAAGCATGCAGAATAACATAAGTGGACTTTGAACGATTAATTGCCGCTTTGAACGATTACGTAATTGTGGCATCCGTAATTGTAATTGCGATTAGAAATTCGATTAATTGTGCAGCCCTATCTCTGACTGTCTTCAGAAAAGTATATTGCATAATAAAGTAGTGTTTATTAGCGCAGTGCTGCTTTGTTTATCTCTGCTGTTCCACAAGCGCCACCTGCTGTTAGAGATTAAATCTGCGTCTCATTCAGCCCGTCTGCTGTTTGTTTCGTGCAGATATGTTTTATATAGCATAATTTCACAAGGCTAAAATTCTGTGCTTCAAATGTTGAAATTATACAATGCAATTTAAATCAAAAACTGCTCATGCGGCATGTATACAGCATCTTTGTTTGGATCATGATTAAAATATAGCAGTTTTGTTAGTTGACATATTTAAATTTCACAAAGAAATGTGCAGCATTTTGTCTGAGAAACAATAAAAGGACACGTTTTCATTTCTAATTTGTCTTAAATCTCATTTTGTAAAAAAAAATCTTGAGAAAATCGAATTGTGAAATCGTGAGTTGAGTGACTCGTTACATCCCTATGTAATGCTACAGGTAATAGTTATAGTGTTCCTTTATAATAGTAATGCTTTAGCAATAAAGCAGCAGTTAATTATGACTTTTTCTTCACAAAGTAGAAGAGAGCAGCACCTACACCAAATGGACACAAATACATTCAAAACCATATTTTGAGTTCAAATATGCATGTTTTTGACATGCTTTGTGAGATGCATAGTAGTGATTCTACTCAGTACTGCAATATTTTAAAAATAATGGAACGAATTTGATCACTTATTTTATAATTTAGCGCATGACTGGTGTTTTTTGTGCTCTTATGAATTAATTATACTCTCTTCAACCTTGTGATTAAAATGTTCATCAGGGCTGTACGATTTATATAATCATTTCTGTAACTTACTTAGTCATTCAAAATTGTAAATGCTTTAGACAGTGTGCAGCTTCTGTGTTGAATTCAGTAGAAATTACACTTTATCTGTGAATGATTTCAAAATAATAATAAGCGAGGAATATTGTCTATAGTAAACAAAATTACATTTACATTTACTCTCCTCATGCTGTTCCTTCTTTCTTTTTCATTCTACAGAAATGGAGACATTTCAAACTGTTCATGCATTATTTTCCATGCAATGAAATTATTCAGAATATATTAAACACAAATGAAGATTTTTTTTTTTAATGAAACCCGAGAGATTTCTGGCCTTTCATTGAAGTCTACACAACCAAAATTTAATTGATTCAAAAAGTTAATAAAAATGTTGTCAAATGAATCCATGTGTGTTCTGAAGAGACACAATTGCTTTATATAAAGAACAGATTTAATTTAATATTTAATTCTCATATAAACATTGACCAATGCATGTACATGGAGCTCATAAAATATTAAAATGTTCATCAGGGCTGTACGATTTATATAATCATTTCTGTAACTTACTTAGTCATTCAAAATTGTAAATGCTTTAGACAGTGTGCAGCTTCTGTGTTGAATTCAGTAGAAATTACACTTTATCTGTGAATGATTTCAAAATAATAAGAAGCGAGGAATATTGTCTATAGTAAACAAAAATTACATTTACATTTACTCTCCTCATGCTGTTTCTTCTTTCTTTGTCATTCTACAGAAATAGAGACATTTCAAACTGTTCATGCATTATTTTCCATGCAATGAAATTATTCAGAATATATTAAACACAAATGAAGATTTTTTTTTTTTTTTATGAAACCCGAAAGATTTCTGACCTTTCATTGAAGTCTACACAACCAAAATTTAATTGATTCAAAAAGTTAATAAAAATGTTGTCAGATGAATCCATGTGTGTTCTGAAGAGACACAATTGCTTTATATAAAGAACAGATTTAATTTAATATTTAATTCTCATATAAACATTGACCAATGCATGTACATGGAGCTCATAAAATATAGTCAACAGGAGCTCAAACATGCAAGTACATACGTTTGAGCTCTTCTGAATATTAATTTTGTGATGTTTTTATGAACTTTTTGAATAGTCAAAGTGTAGGTTGCGTGGACTTTCAATGGAGGGATGGAAATATCTCAGGTTTTATTAAAAATATCTTCATTTGTGTTTTGAGCATGAACAAAAGTCTTTTGGCTTTGGTACGACATGAGTGTGAGTAAATAAGAGAATTTTCTTTTTGGGTGAAAGATCACTTTAAGTTGTAAACATATGCATATGAGATGGTTTTGAGAGAGCCTCATGAAATCATTCACAGACATAAGCAGATCAGTTCAGCTGGAACACAGTCAGTATCTGCTTCAATGATTTGGTACAAATCACCAAACTAATCTTCATGCGCTGCACTGGTGTTTTATATTGTGAATTATATTGTTTTAGGCTCTATTAAATGTGCTTTGCAGAATAATCAAGAAATTTTTTTGTCTAGAAAGCCCTTAAAATTAGCCATTTAATAATTATTCCATTATTGCCGAAGCAGTGTTGCTGGTTTGGTGCGGGTTTGTTTCCTTGCTAAACCCTCGGGCTTTCCTGCTTTGATCTTTTCCGATCACGTTTGCTTCTTTCTTCTCTTGTGGTGTTGGTGGGACACCAGGAGAGCTGTCGATAGCTGTCCCCTCTGTCCCTGCAGGAGGAGACTCGTCCTCAGCGGACCCGCTGCTGCTGGAGCAGTACGTGGCTGTCACCGACTACGAGAAGCAGGAGAGCTCTGAGATCAGTCTATACGTGGGGCAGGTCGTGGAGGTCATCGAGAAGAACGAGTCTGGTAGGAGCCTTCGCTGTTGTTGTCAGTCTCTGCCATTAGTTCCTCCAGACCGTATTCGCCGTACGCAGAGTTTTATAAATACTGACTTTCAAAAACTATGGAAGTCCGATTCCGACACTGAATTAATTTTAATCTCACAAGACTTTTTTTTCTCAGAATTCCGTGATATAAACTCGCAGTTGTGAGTTATAAAGTCAAAATATCGGGATAAAACTCACAAATCTGACTTTTTTTTCACCATTGTGAGTTTATATCTTGCAATTCTGAATTTTTCTCACAATTCTGACTTTTTTCTCGCAATTGCGAGTTTATATCTTGCAATTCAGTTTTTTTCCCTCACAATTTCGAGTTTGAATCTGACAATTCTGACTTTTACCCTGTAATTCTGCATTTTTTTTTGCAATTGCAAGTTTATATCTTGCAATTCTGTTGTTTTTTTCATCAAAATTTCGAGTTTATATCTTCCAATTCTGTTTTTTTTTCATCAAAATTTCGAGTTTATATCTTGCAATTCTGTTTTTTTTTTCCTCAAAATTTCGAGTTTATATCTTGCAATTCTGTTTTTTTTTTCCTCAAAATTTCGAGTTTATATCTTGCAATTCTGTTTTTTTTTCATCAAAATTTTGAGTTTATATCTTGCAATTCTGTTTTTTTTTTCATCAAAATTTCAAGTTTATATCTTGCAATTCTGTTTTTTTTTTCATCAAAATTTCGAGTTTATATCTTGCAATTCTGTTTTTTTTTTTCTCAAAATTGAGTTTATATCTTGCAATTCTGTTTTTTTTTTCCTCAAAATTTGAGTTTATATCTTGCAATTGTTTTTTTTCATCAAAATTTTGAGTTTATATCTTGCAATTCTGTTTTTTTTTCATCAAAATTTCGAGTTTATATCTTGCAATTGTTTTTTTTTTCTCAAAATTTCGAGTTTATATCTTGCAATTCTGTTTTTTTTTTCCTCAAAATTTCGAGTTTATATCTTGCAATTCTGTTTTTTTTTCATCAAAATTTTGAGTTTATATCTTGCAATTCTGTTTTTTTTTTATCAAAATTTCGAGTTTATATCTTGCAATTGCGAGATATAAACTTGCAATTGTAAGTTATAAAATCCAATTCTGAGGGAAAAAAGACATATTTTCTTAAAATTGTGAAAAAAACAACAAAAAAAGACGAGCATTAAACCATGTCAGTTGTCAGTAACAAGCAGAAAACAGACTCTCAAACATGAGAATCAGGTTAAATGTTTGAATGAATGATCCACACTACAAACTGCAAATACAGAAGGCTTGTATATTTAAAGTCCTTTAGTAAAATTATACTTTCTTTATTTCATCATTTTGCATTGAAATTATAGAAATGTCTCAAATAATACATAAACATAAGCAAAATGTGTTTTTGTGGTGAATTTTTATGAGCATTAAAAATCAAATAGTTTCAGCAACTTGTTTCTTTCCTGGATTAATCAGTGTTTTTGAACTAATCGATTAAATCAATGGTTAAATTGCTCGCTCGTTAAGACAGTCACTTGTCGCCACCTACTGGCAAAACGATGCAAGTTGCATTGAAGTCACTGAAAACCACCACTGAAGCATGCAAACACAGACAAGTGGAGCCATACAGGGCTTTTCATTTTCTTCTGTGTCCGTCAACTTATATGTTATGTATATGTTTTATGTATCATTCATTTCCTTAAGAAAAATGAATTTACTGAAGGCTACCAGGAAAGCTATAATTGGTTTATTAAATTAATTCACAATATGTGCACATTCATTAGGCTATCAATCTTATGCATAATGTGCTGAAAGCAGCTTCATCACATTGACAATTACGAATTAAGCGAATCACGTAAATCATAGCCTACAGGTGAAAACGGCCCTAATTATACAGTATCTGTCAGTTGTTTAAATGTTAACAACAATACATCGTAGAACTGTTAAATATTAAATGTTAAGTTTAGTTGCTTAATATCTCACACTTTATGGCCGTTAGCTGAAGCGTTGCGCGGCAGCCTCTGAACTGTAAAGTGAAAAACATTTTCACACTGATGAGCACAGCTGATGAAAAAGTCATCTATCTTGACTTTGTGCAATATCCTTGAAGCACCAAAGTAGAGTTAATATTAAGCTATTATTTCAAAAAATTTATTAAATATGAGGCCCAGCTGTTAAATGAATAGCTCAGCCTAAAATGAATATTCTGTCATCACTTACTCGTCATGATGCTCCGAACCTGTCTGATTTCCCAGGTTGGTGGTTTGTTAGCACTGAGGACGCTCAAGGTTGGGTACCAGCCACATGTCTGGAGGCTCAGGATGACCCTGATGATTTCTCTCTACCAGCAGAAGAAGGTAAAGAGTCCTGCTTGTCATCAAATGTTCCTCATCAGCAGCAACAGCAAAACAAAACAAAAAAAAAATACTCCTGTTTATTCAGATCTGGGATCTCTAAAGATGTAGTGTGTATTTTTTTGAATGCTCATTCCTAGTTTAATATACAGAAACTATAAGAATGACTAGAAGTAAGTCAGTCATGGGTTGTCAAGAGTTTAAACTCTTTTTGTGGCACTTTCACAACATTTCTCTGTTTGAAATTCCCTCTAGCCCTAAGTACTAAACGGGGTTTCTGCAGGATTTATGAAGGTAAATTTAAGACTTTTTCAAGACCAAGTAAAGAAAATTCAAGGAATAAATTGAACGGAACACAGTAGGTCAATATGGTGTCTAAAATTAAATGTCTTGCATTAGCGACGCTTCAAAGTTTGGAAATACAACTTCCAACATATTTCCATTACTTTTCATTCATTTTACCAAAAACAAAGAAAATCTCAAGGTTTGAATAGTTCTCCTCACAAACGCTAGAATATGATCATAACTTTTACTGTACCTTCGGATTTGTCTTGTTTTTCAATGCAAATGTCTGAAGATTCTTAAATCAGGATACTTACTTGAGAATCAAAATTACATGAGATGAGAGGCCTGATCAAAATGAAAACATTTTCTGAGGAACTGATAAAAATGAGTGAGTTTATGATTAAAACTAGAACAAATATCTGCCAATATGCTCAGAAAATCAACTTAATTACTTAATCAGAAAAGTATGTTTCATGCCGCATTGACAGATATTTGATCTCGTTTTAAGCATAAACTCACTTAGTTTCAGTTTCTCAGATAACAAGACTTCATATGTTCAGTTTTCATCTAAAGTAAATGTATCTTGATTTAAGGATGTTTATATATTTACACTTGAAAACAAAAATACTAAGGAAGATGTTCATTTCTTGCAGTGCATGCAACATTTAATGCCACGACTTTAAATTTAAGACACTCTGCTCTGATTTAAGCACTTTTTAAGGCCTTTTAAAGGTAAACAATGGGTGTCTATAAGAAAAACATTCCTATTTTAAACTTTATAAACCATTGCATTGCGAGAAACTCGCATCTTGCTGAATTTAACCAACTAAATATATAGAAAAAAAAAATATATATATATGGCGAACCTTGCTGAACCAGATAAGCTTGTTTTTGCAGTTCTGTTTAGTAGCACAAAAATTGCACATTTCACCATATGTTTTAGAGGTTAGAGTTTTTCTCACTTCTTCATATGTAGTCATTCTGCACTACATGGCAAAGAGTAGATATTTGGTAGGCCAGCATATCCAGTATAAAGAAACATGACCTGAAGGTTTTCACATGTGTCTGCTTGCTCTCTGCTGGAGTGTGCCGGAGATTCTGGTCACTGCCGAGGCACGTTGGTCGCCGGCGTACTTTAGGGGATCTGTTCAGCACAGGCTTTGGCCAAGGTGGAGAGCACAGCACTTTATCACTCTATTGTGACGATGGTCTCACCCACGTATGCATGTGTTTCCCCTGCATGAGGTGCATGCGCTGCAACCTGTACGTCTCCTAGAACCATCACAGCACGAATGGGGGAATTGCAACACTGGTGCCATTTTTTTAAAACAATACTTTCATTTTACTTTTAATTTCTGGTTTGCAAAACGAATTGCCAAAGCTCATGAAATAACTCATGCACCTGTGAATTAGATGGTGTTGATTGATGCATGACAATTGATCATGAAAACCCAATGTCAAACAATCAAACACAATCACAGTTTAAACAAACTATAGGAACAGTTCACCTGCTGTTAATTTACTCACCCTCAGGCCATCCAAGATGTAGGTATCTTTTTTTTTTTCAGAAGAACAATAAAGAATATTTTTAGCTGAAATGCAAGTCAGTGGCTGCCCGTCCTTGAGAATAAAAAAGCATATCAAGGAAACCAAAATGAATCCCTGTGGCTCCTGGCGATATATTGAGGTCTTACGAAGCGAAACGATCAGTCTGTGCAAGAAACTAAATATTATTACTTGTGATCCAGAGCCGCAGAAAAACAGTCCTGAGTGATGTCCGGTTCATGAACGAAACATTCTTTTGAACCGGTTATTTTTTAGTGAACCAGATGAACCAGTTCACCGAATCAGACTGAATCATATGAAACAGTTCGTGGCTCGAGCAGCACAGACCTACAAGTTACTCAATCAAAACTCACTTTTCAGATGCCTGAACTGAGGAAATAGTTCGACTCGGACTGAAGACCGATGAGCCACTGAAATGCGCATGCGTGAACTGAACACTTGAATAAAGGGGTGAAATGAATGTTTTTATGGTTTCTCATGGTTTATGTAAAAAGGTGAGCTGATGAAGACTAGTTTATTTACTTTATATGCATTAGACATGGAAAACATCCGCGTTTCACATCATTATTGGCTGCTTTAATAATATAATTGTGTATACGTTATGTCATTGCGTGATTATGTAAACAAACTGGTGAATTCAACCAGTTCATTGAAAAGAACTGTCCGAAAGAATCGTATTTCCCCGTTTGCCTGAGGCTCTGGATTACGAGTAATAATGTTGTAAATAATCTTCAGTTTCTTGCACAGACTGATCGTTTCGCTTCATAAGACCTCAATATATCGTCAGGAGCCACATGTATTCATTTTGTGTTCCTTGATATGCTTTTTTTATTCTCAAAGATGGCCAGCAGCAGACTTGCATTGTAGGAATCACCAAGGACCACGGTTTCAGCTAACAATCTTCTTTGCTGTTCTACTGAAGAAAAACGTTTTATTTGCTGCACCTGATTGGCTGTAAACTGTAATGCAGTACTGAATGACCACCCGATTTCCAAAAAAAGGGACTTTGGTAACGCTTTATAATAACTTTCATTAGTAATATTCATGAAATAATCTTACAATATTACTGTACTTTTGCTCTAGTCTAGTATAATGTCAGAATGAACCATGTATTCACACAGTTTCACTCTGTTTATTTTGTTCTGTTTTGTGCAGTACAACTAAAATATATGAGATCACAGATAGGAAGTGTATATATGTGTGAGTTCAAGCTTAAGTTTGTATCTGGCATAGAACTGAATCTGTGAGATAATAATGCAAGATTTGCAATTGCGTTTGGATTATGTCACTATTTATGCATCCACACGTGGAAAACGCGATTTGCAATTCCTTTTGAAAATAGTCTGGAATAGCCTTCCATAAGAAAGGGTATCCGGCGTAAAACAAATATGCAGATGATGTACTGTGGCAACCGCTAACAAAAACAGTCAAAAGTAAGAGAGACAAAAGATTGTGGCCCTCTAAACTCTGCCCTCTTCTCTTCTGCAGAAGCAGGAGCGCGACAGAGACCTCCACCACGCCGAGATCTTTCTATAGTAAGGGTGATCATTTACAATTGCATCTCAAATATTTCTAATTCTTTCTTCAAGGTTCTACAGGGAGTATCAAGGGGTGCTTCTCATTCTTATTTGTGCATCCTTGTTTCCTTTCCTCGCTTCCTTTCCTCACGTCTTCTTAGCTCCACCCCGTAAGGTGCAAGGGAAAGATACACCTGTGTCTCCTCACTCATGACTCTTCAGGAAGCTTCCTCACTCCTCGTTCCTCACCAGGGGTTCTCAACTCTGGCCCTTGAGGTTCACCTTAATGCAGAGTTTAGCTCCAACCTTGATCAAAGTTGCCTGCCAGTAACTTTCTAGAAATCCTGAAGACCTTGATTAGCTTGTGCAGGTGTGTTTGATTAGGGTTGGAGCTAAACTCTGCTGGAAAGTGGACCTTGAGGGCCAGAGTTGGGAACCCCTGATTTAGAGAATTGAGATGCCCTTCAAGATGGCTGCATTCAACTGGGCTGGAGAACAGAGGAGCGAGGAAACAAGGAATCGTCAATTTGAGGATTGAGAAGCACACAAGGTTTTGACATGTTAACTCTTGGCCTGTCTCTTATTCCAGCCGCGAGGAGTGAATCTGCCTAAACCTCCAGTGCCCCCACAAGTAGAGGAGGAGTATTACACCATAGCTGACTTTCAGACAACCATCCCAGATGGTATTAGCTTCCAGGCAGGAGTGAAAGTTGAAGTGAGTATAACAGCAGACAAAACTTCGGCTTTCATTTTTGACTAGTTCTCAAATGAACGCATCTGGATATTCCGCATGCATCTCTACATTTACCTCACATCTTGTACTCTCAGGTCATTGAGAAGAACTCTAGTGGCTGGTGGTACATTCAGATCGAAGATAAAGAAGGCTGGGCTCCAGTCACATTCATTGACAAATACAAGAAGACTAGCAATGCCTCTAGGCCTAACTTTTTGGCCCCGCTTCCTGGTGAGATGGGTCAGCTGAAGCTTGATGATACCTCAAGCAATAATACCAACTCTGAGCAAAGTTGGTCCAAACCCCTGCCAGACGAACCTTCATCCAACTCTGATTTTTCCACCCGTTCCAAGCTGAGAGATTGGAAGCCCAATGCAGTTAAAGGGAGCTCTCCTTTTTCAGGGCCCTTACCACCTCCTCCATCCTCACCCACGGCTGAAGAGAAGCCAGCTTTACCGCCAAGGAGAGAATCCATCAACAAGAGCCTGGAACTGGAGGACAAACCCAAAGCAGACCTTCCTAAACCTCTCCCACCCAAACCACCAACCCCAGGAGTCATCGTCCCATTGGTGATTCCAAAAGCTGCTCCTCTCAAGCCAGACAAACCCCCAGAGATGAAGGAGGAGAAGAACAAGCAACTCTACCTGCGCAATGAGATGGGCTTGTGTGGCCACAACATCTCAGCCAAGGAGGTGAAAAAGTTCAACCTAAAGCATGTGGCCAAGCAGCCTCCCAAACCCAAAGCAGATTCGCATGAAGACAAGCCGGATTTGGCCAACCCAGCCCCGTTCCTCAAGCCGAAACCAGTGGTCAGACCAAAGCCCCCCCCTGCGGCCAAACCAGAGCCGGTGGCCAAGAATGAGCTGGACATCACAAACCTTCGGAGTAAGCTTCGTCCATCTAAACCTCCAGAGCTGAGCAGCAACTCGAGTGATCCCAACCAGCAGAGTGATACTCCCTCGAATAATGGCAGAACAAACGAAGAGTCGAAATCCCCCAATAAACAACAAAACGGCCATGACCCATCAGAACCAACTAAACCACCTACAATTACACCAAAGGAGCCTCCCCAAAGGCCATCTGTGGCACCTAGAAGACCTCCTCCACCAAAGAAGAGCTCTGAGTCAGCCAGTCCAACAGACACCAAAGCTCCCCAAAAAGACTTGCCGGAGGCCAAGCCATCCGCCCCTCCTCAGAGCAGACCCCCGCCACCCAAAATGAAACCAAAAGACAAGGAGAAGGAGGAACCCAAGGCCAAAGTACCTGTGCCACCAAAGCCCCTCATTAAGACCGAAAAACCAGGGCCTCCGAGAGACAAACTCCCACCTCTTATCAAGGATCCGGCCAAGGAGGAGCTGTTCTTAGCTGTGGCGGACTTTGAAGGAGACGAGCAGACGCCTGCCTTTAAAGAGGGTGCTGTTTTCGAAGTTCTGGAGAGAAGTAGCGGTGGCTGGTGGTTTTGTAAAAATGTGAGCGATGAGCCGTATCAAGGATCCGGCCAAGGAGGAGCTGTTCTTAGCTGTGGCGGACTTTGAAGGAGACGAGCAGACGCCTGCCTTTAAAGAGGGTGCTGTTTTCGAAGTTCTGGAGAGAAGTAGCGGCGGCTGGTGGTTTTGTAAAAATGTGAGCGATGGGCCGGTGATGGAGGGCTGGTTCCCTTCCAATTACCTGACAAAGAAACCTTAGGTACTCTTGACACGGCTGCCTAAAGAAAACTTATTTAATTAACATCTTTTATTTATGGGAACTTTTTTAAAAATGACATTCCATCCTTTGCAAGTTCAAACATCCGTAAAAATTTGTTTGCTTGCTTTTCTGTAACTCCTTTCTCTTTTGGGGAAAACCATGTGTGCTTTCATATTTTAGCACTGAACATCAAGGTCCTTGCCTAATCTTATGTTAATCAAACCTTATATGTATCGCTAAAGGTTTAAGTGACTAGCAATATATAACTGACTTTTCGCAGCGTCCATGATATTGTGCCTCAGTATAATATGCAAAGTGCTCTGTGCTTTTGCCGTAGATTATGCAAAACATGATGTCTGTCAGCAGATTAGAAACAGAGTAGGATTCTATATTACATTGAAGCTTTTACAGAAATTGGTCTGCTTTCTGATTCTAACACTACAAAACTCTACAAATCATGTTGCTTATCTACTTTCTCGAGTAAAGGGAAGGTGCAGAATGAGGAGAAACAAGAAACATAAACACATGGCCTTAAGATTTACAGAACAGTGGCACCCATTTCTCGTTTCATTTTTGATTTTTGTCACATGAATGTTCTAGCAAATATTGATAAAAAAAAAAAAGCAACCCCCTTTAGCAGTGCCAATCATATACATTAGTGAATAACAGAATACCTCAGAATAGCCATAATATCGTCATTATTTTATATGTGAGTATAGCCCAGTATTTTCATATCACTGACAAAGGTGCTTAGATATTTTACAGTCATTTTCAAATGTTTTAACATTTATGCTTGACTGGTTTCAAGCAAACGTGTGATAAACGTGTTTATTTTTAACACTACATTTGAAAATGTGGTTATGTTACTAAAATATTTCTTGTCTTTTTTGACAGTTTTGTTTTCCATTCATTTATCAGAAAACAGTGTTAAGCAGGTGCCCAGTCTGACCTGACAATACCAGGAGCACTGAAAATATGCTCATTTTGCTCTATGGTCATCAGCTCCTAGTTGCTATAAAATGCATTCATAAAAGCACCCCATTTATTAAAAAATGTGCAACAAATGCAAGTGCCTGAGTTTGGAAAGGATAATGGAAGGTGTTCTGAAGTTTTTGCAAGAAAATGACTATGAGAAAATAATAATAATAAGATGAAGGATAATAGAGAGAAGAGAGTAAATGCTGCAAGTATGAAACTTGAGTTTCATAGAAACATAAAATTTATGTTGAAACTCAAACCAGTTAAAAACGAACAAAGGCAAGATGACATTGGCAACCTGTTTGTATTTTTTTTTTAAGTATTTCTGTGATGTTTTGTCCATAGTATTTCAAGTTTTGACAACGTTTTCTTAATGTAAATCAAATAAACATTTCAAATAGTCAAAATGTTTTATTATTTTGAGCAATTCCATTTATACTGGTATTAAACTGTAAGCGCGAGCTATCAACAGTACACTTTTTTTTTTTTGCTGTCTTCTATTTATTGTCTTTTTTGAGTTTTCTAGTTAATTTATTTCCTTACATAATTTATGGGAACTTAATTTTTATTACCAACAAAGAAAGAAATATAGCTAGATTTTGGAAGGCAGGGGTTTTCAAAATCCCCCAAATGATGTTCACCTTGCAATAGACCCCTTTCCTAAAAGTAAGCAATAAAGAAGAGCTAAACATGTTATTTGTGTTTTATAGATGTACTTTTTTATTTTTTCCTCAAAATTATATGCAGTTGCAGTAAACTGACAACCGGGAATGAAATGCTAGAATAGATTAATGGTGATTAATTTATAGACACTAGTCTTTAGAAAGCATAATGAGAATGTAATATCAAATTATTGGATATTATTTAAACTAGTGAACTGTTTTTGCAATGTTATGGCACCATTTTAAGGAATCTGTCAAAAGTTTGGAACCATTAAGATTTATGAAAGAAGTGTCATATTCACCAAGGCTGTGTTTATTTGGGGAAAAAAAGATATACAATTATTATTATTTTTATTTTTAAATATTGATAATGAATTCTGAAGGATCATGTGACGTTGCATTTTCAGCAGCCCTTACTAGTCTTCAGTTTTTCCATCACAGAAATTAATTACATTTTAAAAATTATTCCAAATATAAATGATGGTATTCAAAATATAAAATAGACTTTTAAATTGTATTAATGTTTCATAATAGTGTTTTAACTGTATTTACTGTAACTGTAAGTGTGCATAGTTTGAGCAATATGACACGAGGAAGAGATTTCTTTGCGGTTTCAGATGAATCGCAGCCGTGTGCGAGTGTCATATTGATTTAATAAAAAGCTTCTGCAATATTGAGTAACTCGCACTGCAGCTACAATATGACCTGATTTCTGAAATGTAAACATCTCTAGTTCAGTGTCATAAAAATATCATAAAAATCTCACTTGGTTTGACTATGAATCCAAAAATGGGGACCATACATTTTTGTATGTTTTCTATGTTATTTTTACCTACACTATTATTATTATTATTATTATCATTAGTAATTATTATGATGATGTTTGTGGGTCAAACTGACTCTAACTGGTTTTAATACAACTCATCAAAAATCACACTATGAAAAATAGTCAAATATTATTAAATAAATGGATCAAAACTGTATTGTACTAGTACAAAAATACATTACAAAAATAAAATAAATGAGAAAAACTGTATTTAACAAACATTTTAACATGTCCTAATTGTATTTATATATTTTTATGTTCATAAAACTGTGAATATACTGTACATTAATTACAGCTTTTCCTTTAATTCCTCAAATATGATTAATTCCATGTTTGTGCTTTTGGAAGTTGATCTTTACCCAAATTAGGCTTTTTATTGCGCATTTTAGGCTCATTTCCACTGTAGAGAACAAATGAAGAGCTGTTTGTGTAAACTAAAACTAACAAAAGGAGGAGAAACGTAGCAGAGGTTCCATTCATCTAATTAACTTCAATTCAATTTGTGCCGCAGAACTACCTGCTGAATAAAGCGAGAATTAAAACAACATAGCATCGAGCTAAAATCTATTTTGAACTGTAGGTGGCGCTACAGGTGTGCGATGTGAACACAGCTGGAATTGAGACGTTCCTCTTTCTAGTGTGTCAGATTTATTAAAAGGATAGTTGGCCCAAAAATGAAAATGCTGTCATCATTTACTCAACCTCACGTTGATGCGAACACGATATTCTGCAGAATGTTGGCGAGATATTCTTTCCTGTGGAAAAATACTATGGAAGTCAATGGCTACCGACTTCAAAATATCTTCTATTGTGTTCAACAGAAGAAAGAAACTCAACATGAGGGTGAGTAAATGAGGACAGAATTGTCTTTTTTTGAGCTAAAACAGCTATTCCATTAAATGTAAATCAAAGAAAATGATCAAAACTAAAAGATAAACATCTCATTTATTAGAGATACTCAACAGTTTCTCATCATCCACACTGAAGCTTTGGTTACTCAGAGTTGCAGACTCAGAAAGGAACGATCAACACTGTGCTCCACAGACATTAAAAAAAAAGACGTAAATCCTCATACCTTCAGGCTTCAGGTATCGCTTTTGAAAATATAAATCCTTCAAATGGCTAAAGACTGGAAGCTGATGTAAAATAACACGCGTTTAAAATCGGAACACAACAACATATTGCACTTTGGTTAGGTGACAGTAACAGACAGCAACATATAAAAAATGATCAATAATAAACTAGAGAAAACATGCATAAACACATTTCTGGAGTCGCTCTCGTCTCGTCCAGTGTGATGCATTTACAGTAAATGTGCCAGTGGCAGACAATAAACACTGCAGAATAATAAAAGTGGCAAATTTGTTGCTGTCTAATACATAAAACAACAAAAACATTCGGTAAAATAACAATGTACCAATTAAAATGTACACTTTTTCAGAAAAACCAAAAAAAAAACATAAGTTCCTTTTTTCAGCATCTAAATATTTGTACAAAGAAACTGGTTATAAAAGAAAAGGGATAAGTTGCAACTTTATATATATATTTATGCATATATTAACTGATCATAGAAAAAATAAAAACATAAGAACATGCAAGGTTTGTACAATATATTTGGCAATACAATTAAACTAACTTTTAAAACTTTTAAATAAACTAAGGCAAGCGAGTCTGTCAGAGCTGTTCTAGTCATGCAGTTCAATGCCCTCATTTAAATGAATGCATCTATGCACTTTCATCTCATGCTATTAAAGGAATAAAGCGGATCTGAATGCTGTTTCAGGTGACTGTGCTGTAAAGAGACGCCGCTGCTGCTTTGTTCCTGTGCACTTACAGACAAATCCGCCTACGCCTCCAGAAAAGTGTGTCGAACATAAATGACAAGCAGGAGCTCATGTGGTGGACGAGTCGATGTACGGCAGGAACCTCGTGACTTTGTTTGGTGAGCCGACGCTCAGACACTGGGAATCATCACTCATCTTGAAGAAAAGCTCCTGCTCTTTCTTCCTCAGGTTCAGTTCCTCCTCCAGAACCTGAGAGAGGAGACAGAAACACATCACACTTCAACTCTACAGTCGACTGAGGTTTATTCTCATCAGCCAATAACTCACAATTAAACACGCGTTCCCTCTCATTATCATTTAAACAGTAATGTTTTTATATCATCGTACAAGTTGTTCTATTACTTTTATGCCTTTATATGATTTTTTTTTTTTTAAATGCAGTAATTTAATATTGTGAGTAAAATGACTATAAATTAAAATTAGAAATTGTAATAAAAAATAAATAAAACATGTAGATGCATAACATGAATTTGAGGAGAAAAGTGCTTAATTGTGTCATAATGTGTGTGTATATACTTCTGTTTGGGATCAGAAAGATTTATTTATATCTTTAATTAATTGACTTTTTTTCAGCAATGAAGTTGATCAAAAGTGACAGTAAAGACATTTCTAATGTGACAGAAGATAACTTGATCTTTCTAATCATCTGTGAATCCTGAAAAATAAAATTGATCAGTTTCCACAGATATTGTGCAGCACGACTGTGTTCAACATTGATAATAATCAGAAATGTTTCTAAATCAGCATATTAGAATGATTTCTGAAGATCATGTGACACTGAAGACTGGAGTAATGATGCTGAAAATACAGCTGCGCATCACAGAAATAAATTATATTTTACTATATATTAAATAGGCCTGTCATGATCATGAATTTTGTGCTGACAATTAATTGATTAATTATTTAATTGTCTTTGTTCAATGCAATGAGCCAATATTTGTAAGCCAAATACATTATTATTTTATATATATTATTTATATGTATTTTACTTCAAAATATATAATTAAATAGGCCCACATGATTTTCTTTAATGCTGTGAAAACAATATTTTAAAAGTCAAAATGTCTTTACTCTTGGTCCATTTTACATGGACAATGGAGCCCAGCAAACCTGAATATGTGAGCTGTGTAATAATATAATATAATATAATATAATATAAAACATAATATAATTAACATAATATAATATAATAAAATAAATATAATATAATTAACAATATAATATAAAACATAATATAATATAATTAACAATATAATATAAAACATAATATAATTAACATAATATAATATAATTAACATAATATAACATAAAACATAATATAATTAACATAATATAATAGCTATTTGATCAAATAACTGTAATCACATGATTCAACAAAAACCTGACGGGCCTAATATTAAAATGGAAAACAGCATTTGAAACTGTAATATTTAACAATATTACTTTTTTCCCTGTGTTTTTGATCAAATGCAGTCTTGGTGAGCAGAACAGACTTCATAATCTCACCTCCCCAAACCGCTGAACTGTAGTGTGTAATGTATTTGTGTGTTTAGATGTCCGGGTGAAATATGAGCCAGACTCGTCTCTAGATTCGCACGAGCAAGTCAGACCTTCTTCCTGGGCTTGAGGTGCTCCCTCCACTCCTTCAGCTGCTGGTTGTGCTGCTCGTCCACAGCCTTCAGACGCTGCGTCTCGTTTTCTATCAGCAGGTGGCACTTCTCATTCTGCAGGAGACATTCACACGGATCAGGCTACGAGCACACTAACACGGACACATCTCAAAATGCATTGTTTCCCCTCCGTCCACACTGAGAGTGTTTTTGACAGAGCTTGAATGTGAAAGTCTATTTGAAAACACTACTATTGTAGTGTGAGGGATTTGAAAACAAAGACGCATGATTACTCGTTTGATGCATATTGTGTCTGTAGATATTTACGTATGTGCCTGTAATGTGCGGTTCACTCACAGAGTTGTTAAATATGTATGATCATTTGTTTAATCTTCATACATTCCAACAAAGATGACAGAAAATTGCTGCGTAACATTATTTGTAACTTCACACAAAAGCAAAAACACCTCTTTTGTTTGATTTTCTTGTTTTTTTTGCTTCACCTGAATGGTACGAAACTTGGTAAAGGTTTTGGCACTTGGCATGTGAACACAAACAAAACTCATGGATGTGAATTGAAAAGGTTAAACAGTCCTGAAAAAATAGTCAGACTTGCATTGGAAACAAATGGAAAAGGATTTTCATCAAGCAGAAACGTTTGGTACTGCGAAACAAACCACATCTGACATTTTTTGTGATATCAACCTCAAATTCGGAACACATTTTGTTTAGATTTACGGCTTTGAATTTGTAGCAGTTTTAAAGTAAAACATGTTTGGAAAATATATATTTCATATAAAATTTAAAAATAGTATTTTTGTGCATTTTTCATAATAATAAACTTAAACTTTTATAATTTTTTTCACTTTTTGAACTTTTTGTCACTTCAGCAATAATAAAAGTGTCTTCTTTATAAAAAAAAGAAAAACAAAACAAAAACAAAAAAAGACCAAACTTAAGTCTGTGCTCTAAAGCATTCAAGATAAGTTTAAATTGGAAATTTCATTTTCAGGTCTATGCTCAAAAAATATTTAACAGGTAATAAATGGATCATAGCTATTCTATAAATATAAATTAGTACCATAAATTCCACTAAAAATACAAAATATTAAATAGCATTATCAAACTAAAATATAGCACATTCATTTCATTGAAATTTTTTTTTAAAAAATAAATAAAAATCAGTCATTTTTGATTGCCATGTGGAACATAAAATAAGTTGGATGACATCGGGGTCCAAACTAGCGGCGCCGAATGTTTTTATTACCATGCTTTGTGCACATCATCACTGAGTTTTCATGCTAATTATGTACATACATTTTTTTAAAAATACAAATATGAAAAACTTTCGAGCCACTCGAGTCAATGCTTGTGTTTACACCAGCGGCGCCGCGCCACGTTTCAGAAGCGTCACAGAAGCGGCTCTCTGCGCCGCTTCGCTAAAGATATGCGCCTCGCCTATTTTTGACGGTTTTTAAAAATACAAATATGAAAAACTTTCGAGCCACTCGAGTCAATGCTTGTGTTTACACCAGCTCTCCGCGCCGCTTTGCTAAAGATAGGCACCTCGCCTATTTTTGATGGTAAGAGTGTGTGCTTGAATATGCTCTAGAACCGCTCTCGCGATACTTTGATGTCATACACCGATCAGTCTGCGCAGCGCTGCTTCAAGTCGAACACACCTATTGGGTTTGTGGTGTTGTTGTTGTGCGCCCTAGGGAACGCATATCCGCCATACGTCATCGCGTCGCTATATCATTGATATCGCGATATGACACTTTTTTATCATGTAAAAATTTATACCGGTATCATCGTGGACGGTATGATATGGCACACCCCTAGCGAACACAACCGTCATTCACGTCCGTCTAGCGCGTTTACATAGAAAAACACACATGCATTTAGAGCGATTATATGAACAGTTTGGTTAACATGGTCTGTGGCAGATTTTCTTCATGTCAGGGCAACAATTCAATAAACAAGAAGTTAATATTAAGTGACTTAAATTGTAGAGACAATATTGTCTTTTTTTGCTCTATTTAGCTAAAGAAAATGGTTTGTTATTGAAATAATTAGCATTTTTTAACAAATCAAATGAAGCAGCTATTCACTGACCCTTTCATAAAACAGTTTCTTACTTCAATCCTGAATGAATCAGCCATTTTGAACGAATCGATTGAATAAATGACTCAACGACTCGCTCATTAAGACAGTGGCTTGTCGCCACCTACTGGCAATTTGAGTTTCATATTTAAAAGCATCATTCTATTTTTTTTTTTAGTGCTGTCAAGCGATTAATCGCATCCAAAATAAAAGTTTTTGTATACATGTATATATGTGTGTGTACTGTGTATATATGTATTATGTATATATAAATACACACATGCATGTATATATAAGACAAATATGTTTTGTTTATACATAAAATATTTATATATAATATAAATGATGTATGAATATAAATATATATGTATATACATGTAAATATTTTTCTTAAATATATACATGCATGTGTGTATTTATATATACATAATAAATATAAACAGTACGCACACATATATTATGTAAACAAAAACTTTTATTTTGGATGCGAT